GCATTCCTTCACTATATAGTGTATTTCTTTTCTTTCCAAGTGATGCTCACACCCACAGCAGTGACACTGCTCAGCCATGGCACAATTACACCGACTTGCCCCTTTCCTGGTTTACAGAACTCTCTCTTTGCCAGTATTCCCAGTGCAGAACAGAGAGCCAGGAAACTGTGTCTGTGTCGTGTGCTGGAGCACCTTTGTTAGTGCAACCTAAGGAGCTCACATAGCAAGACGGCAGTCAAACATGAGCTACTAAACATCATTCTATGAATATTTGAAAGATTCCAGGCTCCAAGTACAGGTTGATGTTGCCACTTCCTTTTATTCCTAAACAGGTTAAGATTAACCTGCAAGGGAGCAACACAGTTGCACCTATATTTTGCTGTATAGAGATAACCTTTATGTAAGTTATTCAGCGAGGCTGAATCATGGTACGGTGCTGTTCTGTGTGCCTCCTTTTGCAGCTTTCATTGCCATGGTACCCAAGAGACTTCCAGTAGTGCATTAAGCAACGTGCCTGTCACTCGTCAGGAGAGTTCACTCCGTCTCTCATCCTCTCCCCCGTGTAGGGAACAGCAGCTTTCGGTTTCTGTTTTTCATCTTTCTGAGTGAAACATCTCAGACGCTCTACTTGATTGAGTGAACGACGATGGAACAGTTTGTAACTTGCTGTCTGTAATAAAACTGGTTAAGCCAGCTCTAACCCAGTCCTTCCTTTTCACACTAAGTACATCGGTTCCTTTCATCTGAGAAGACAGATGTATTTTCAGATTATGTAATAAAAAAGGTGCACATAAGGGAAATATTAAGCAGGGAAATATTGCAATTTTTATATCATCAGTCAGGGTTATAGATTTTTTATTTCAAAAGAACGAAAGGTTAATATGTGTACAAGTCAGATAAAGGCTCAGAAAAAAATAGCTCTTTTGTCTAGTTTTGTATTCACTCTGATTTAAAATATATATCTAGATGGGAAAGACTGCAGGGAAGATCTGATAACTTTTTCTAGAACACATACAGTAATTTCATTGTAATTCGATTTGCAATTTAAATGTCTAACGAAACACTGCATAAACATCAATAATGGGTAACATCAAAAAATAGCAAATGTTGTTTATCTTTGCAACAGAAACACTAACTCATTAACAGAGCCAGAATAATATTATAACTTTCACTGTGGTGTTGGAAAGACCTGCAAGAAGCGTAATGAACAGTTAGAGTCACACTATCTGACAGGAATCTCTTTACTTGTTTCTCACAGAAGGAAAGGACCACTCCTTGCTGCTTCATCCCAGCATCTGGCATCCAAGGTAATTCTCTGTAACCTCACTACCTTTCAGACAGTTACAGCACGGATCGTCATCCCTAGACTATTACTCAAAGAAGGAAATAGACGCAAGTTCACTCCTATATCCTGAACTGTTCGGACACAAATGCATCCAAAGAACAGTAAATGCAGCAGGACACCCTACCTTTGGACAGGGTTTCCATCACCTTGTGACTCCTGGAACATCCACTGGCCTTAGAAGGTGTGCACTTACCTAACCTCTACTAGAAGTATGGCCCACTGTATGTTTTCACTCCGTAACCAGTCAATATAGATTAGACAGTTGCTACCATATGTTGAAAGAGAGTATTTTTTTTTAAATCAAATTGTAAAGATTCAGAGTTTCAGCTCAGCACCTTTTTCACTTTGAAGGATGATGAACATTTGTTGTTCCTATGATTTGATCTGCCTAGCGTTTCTGCAAGTCACTCAACTGTATAAGTTAGCAAGTCTTACCAGTCCTTGATGAATTGAAACAAAACTGCACCATACACCATACTGAGGTGGTTTCCTAGAGGTAATTTGTACTTGAAAAGCATATAGGGACAGAAGAGCATAGGTATTTTCTTTATCATGGGAGTTAATACAAAAATACAATATAAATACAAGGGGTTTTTTTCACTGTTCCCAAGATAGTAGGTACTTTCTCTGTTCTAGAGAAAACGTATTGTCCAGTGTCTATTCAGTTGTCTCTCTGCAAAGATTCCTTTTTATAGTTCATTTTGACAGCAGTGCTATGAAACACAAAGGGCCAAAACTCCCAACCTGTAGCCCAGAAGCCATGACCATGACCATCACAAGCTGTTAATCTGAAATCTTCAAAAACCTTGTACTGAGATGACCAAGAACTGGAAGAGCTGACAATGCTACTACTTTTGTGAGCCATCAGATAATCAGAAGCAACTGTTTGTGTTCAACTTTCAGTAAGCAGCGACTAAAAACACTGGTGTAGGTTTCCCTGTTGAAGTCAGTTGATATTCTCATGGTATATCAGTTCTACAGTACACACAAATAAAAACACCGTATTGTTCCATTCCACTTTTCATTAGTGCCACTCTTGCAACATGATCTGGCCGAAACCATGGGAGGCATCACTGCAACTTACGAGTGTGGCTTCAGAATTTGTGGAAGATTTGGGATAGGTGAGAAAGTAAGAGTGCCTCGGGTGATAGCAGAACTTAGGAGGCTGAAATGAGAACGAAGACCAAGGAAGGCTTGGAATCTAGGAAGGGTAGCACCTGAGAAGATGAGAAATGTCACCTGGAACCTAAGAGAGGTGCACAAGTATTATGGGGAAGAAGGGAAATGATGGTAGGGGCATTCAAACAGCATGTAGAAAATTGAAGGAAGCAGCAGAAGAAAACAGAGAAAATAGCTGAGCAGGCTGTGAAATCAAAGGACTAACAACCCATCAGTAAATGGTATTAGTTTTAAAAAAGAAGTAAATACACCAGAGGCTGAGCATGAAAATACCAATTAAAAAATGAAGGGACGTGGAAGAGAGTATTTTGAGACACCAATCTAGTACCAAATAGAGTAGTTGCAATAAAATGGAGAAATAAAAAATAGCTTCAAATATTTTGGGATATACAAAAAAAGACTAAGTGGAGAAGAACTACATTTTTATAATAGTGTAGGACAAGTGAAATGTAATGGTTATGGATGAGAGTGGTGGAACACATTAAAATTCCCCCATCACAGAGCACTCTGTTACTGGCACACAATTTTCTTACAATAAAAATGTGAAGCATTATCAACAGCATATTTCTCAAATGCAAAACCTGGACATAACTTTATAATACCTGTTTTTACAGTAATACAAAATAAGAATTAGCATGAGAACTATAAAATACACATGGTAACATCGCCACTAAACCTCCTATTTAAAATAAAATATTCTTTAACATGAAAAAAAAAAGTTTTGCAAGGAAAGGAAAATTTCTAAAACCCATTGGAGTATCATTTTAAGAGCCTCGAGGACAAAAGAAATTTCAGAAACTGAGCAACTGTGGAATTACCTTTGGCTGCAGGTATTTCTGAACCTCATCTAAAGACCATGCAAACACTGTCATAACTTCAGTGAGGTGTGGATCTCTTTATATACCTTCTGTTCTTGCAGTTCAGTGGGTGAAATGAGTCTCAGTGGCTCAAGGAGTCATTAAAACCACAGTGTGGCAAAGGCTGGTGGAGAGCCCTGGCAATGTCAGCCTGCCTGCATGCTGTGTAAAGGACTGTGCTGGGGCTTCCCAGTTAGTTTCTCATCATATCACCAAGTTAGGGGATGATGAGCATGCCTGAAGGGGAAAGGGCTGTGAACTATTCAGATATAAACACTGGCAATAGCTTCAGCATGTGACTACGGCTGGGGACAAGGGAGAGATCTTACTTGGATGCACTCATTTCAGCTGTACATACACAATATTTAGTTATAAATAATTCCCATATGCAACAGCAAGCCTGTTATGTTGCATGACGTTGAAAGATGCCTATAGATCATAGAATTGTCTAGGTTGGAAGGGACCTTTAAGATCGTCTAGTCCAACCACCAACCTAACTCTGATAAAAACCATCACTAAACCATGTCTCTAGCAGTGTGTCAACCCGTCTGTTAAATACCTCCAGGGACAGTGCCTCAGCCACTTCTCTGGGCAGGCCATTTCAATGTTTAATAACCTTTTCAGTGGAAAAAAATTTCCTAATATCCAATCTGAACCTCCTCTGGCACAACTTGAGGCCATTTCCTCTTGTCCTATCACCTGTGACCTGGGAGAAGAGACTGACCCCCGCCTCGCTACACCCTCCTGTCAGGCATTGAAGCGAGCGATAAGGTCTCCCCTCAGCCTCCTCATATGATATTTCTTCAGTGCCCTACATTTTTTCCTAGAAAAGTTCATAATTGTATATTTAATCTGTTACAGTCTACATAAGTAGATCATCAAATGAAGGGCTGCCAGTGAAGCAGAACTGAGACATACAAGTGGACTGAGTTTCGCTGAAGTGCTATCACTGCTAAACTATTGGGTTTGGGATTTATTTTTTTATTTTTTTGTTAGGAAAGGTGATATTTTGCCCCAGTTCTTAGCTGAAATTAGAAAAACAAGTTCTGCCGATGGAGCAGGGTTTGTAAAAGGCCGCCAGCCCAGCACTCGCTGTATTTCCAAGCTGAACCAGAGGAAGAAGAGCGGGATGTGGCCGCCAGCCGCCCCCGGTGGTCCCGGGGGGGACCTTGCCGTGATTTTTCCCAAACCCCCGTGGGCTCCGTTTGGTACCGAGCGGTTGAAGGTGAGCCCTGTCCCCGCCTTCACAACACAGCCCCTCATTTCGGGGGGGTGTTCCGCGCCCGCGCAGGTGAGAGGGGGTCAGCGCGGCGGGGGAGTCACCGGGGCGGCCCCCCAAACCCCCGGCGGGAGAGAACCGCCTGGGAGCCGGCGGAACCGGGCGGGACGGCGAGGGCGGCGCGGCGGGGGCACGGCAGCCCCTCAGGGGAGGCGAGCGGAGCCCCGCCGCCCTCCCACCTCCCGCCCCTTCCCGCCGGCCGGGGACAGCCGCCACAGCCGAGGCGCCGCAAACTTTACTCCCCGCCGTTCCCCAAGCTGCGCCCGGCGCGGCGGGCGGCGGCTCCC